TTAAAAGGTTTATATTAAAGTAAATTTTGTTTATATTAAGTTTTTGATTTGCTTTCAGAAATATGTTTAAAGTTGTGAAAAACATAGTTGGAACATAGATTTTTATTTTGTATTTTAAATATTGTTCAAACAGATGGGATGACAGAAGTGACACCCCAAGGTCTAGGTCAAGATCAGAAGAGCGTTCCTTAAGTGAGGCTTCTGTACATTCCAGCCATCATCGATCTAAAAAAGAAAAAAAGAAAACCAAACGCAAGAAGAAAACTAAGAAACGAAAGCACTCAAAGAAACATAAAAAGAACAAGACCAAGGAGACCTCCCAGTCTGAGAATGAGATGTCTGGGTCCTCAGGCAAGAGGTCGAAACACACAAGCCGTGCAGAGAGGAGACATTCTCGATCACGCTCTCAGTCTTACTCTCGCTCATCGTCGTGCCACTCCCACAGATCGTATAGAATAGGATCAGAAAGGAGACGTTACTTATCAAGCTCTTCTAGAGATTCACGATCTTATTCGAGGTCCAGGAGCAGATCTTATTCCAGAAGTCGGTCAAGGTCTGATAAGCGGGTTCGGTCATCCATGAGATCAAGTCATAGTCGATCAGGACGGTCTGTTACACATTCTAGGTCACGTTCTCGATCCAGATACAGGACAAGGTCAAGAACCAGATCAAACTCTAGGTATAGTTCAGAAACCCCACCACGTTCCAGGAAAAGAAATGAGTTGAGATCCTCTCGAAAGTCAAAGCCTACAGAGGGCGGTATTTCCAAATTGGACAAGCCTGTCCCTAAATCAGTTCAAGGTGAAGAATCTAAAGCCCAACCAGCAGCATCTTCAGAGAGTGTCTCTGTGTTGCCTATGAGTGACAGTCCACCTCCTTCTCGATGGAAACCAGGCCAAAAACCCTGGAAACCCTCTTATGTCCGCATTCAAGAAATCAATGTAAAATCAGCCCCAGCTTCAAATGCACTAATCAGCCCATCATCAAATGTACCTCTGGAGGTAATGTCCTCTCTAAAGCCAGACACGGCTGTTAGTCAAAGGAACCCCAGCAGCACTAACAATAATGTTCCTGATAGGCTTCTGCAAAGCAGTTTGTCCAGGAGCAGTTCACCTACTCGATCACGTAGTAGCAGCAAATCAAAGAGTCAGTACGGCAGCAGATCTTCCTCTTGCAGTAGGTCGGAGTCGTATAATTCATACAAAGGAAGAACCACTGAAAAAAAGAGAAAACATCGTAGATCTCACAGAAATAGCCAAAAGAGGGACAAGCATGCAAATCATGGTAGTGCCCATAAAGATTCATCTCCCTCCTCAGAGAACATATCAGATAATCCATACAGTGCTATCCACGGACACAATGATTCCTTGGTACAGAGAAACACACTGAAAGGCACAAATCCCAATCAAAGGAAAGGACCATTAGGGGACAACAATAATGCATCTGGATGGGAAAGTGAAGGAGAGAACTCAAGTAAGACTAATACTGCTCTGGAACACAACCAACTCCCTATTAGTGATGAGGGACTTACTGAAATGAAAAAGAGACAGATTTTGTCTCGTTGCTGGGAGACTGAGAGTGACTCTGAAATGCCAGACAAAAAGGTAGTTAGTGATGCCAAACATGTGTCTGAAAAAGAGGAGGGAGAGGCTAGTTCAGAATCAGAGTATGAACACCCTTTATGGACCTCTAGCAAGTCAAATCAAGGTGCAGAAATGTCTAAAGAATTAAAAGGTAATGAGGAGCTGTCTGCAGACACAAAAACTTCAAAGCACAAGAACAAGAAAGCCAAGCGGAAGCACAAGCACAAGAGGAGGAACACTTCCAGGTCAGGATCTCGCAGATCCAAGGCCAAGAAATCCAAGAAGCACCAAAAGCCGAAAGAGACATTTCACTGGCAGCCTCCACTGGAGTTTGGTGATGAAGGTGAGGAGGATGATTCAGTCACTCAAGCAAAACAATTTCACATAGCAAATCCTGATGCTGTCCGTGATGGAGCAAAAAGGCGTATAAAGGCTGGAAAGATCAAGCACCAAGTCTCAGAAAATAAGGATGACGATCAAGGGAATGTCGAATCATCACAAGATATGTTTTCAGTAGAGTCTTCTAAAGGTATTGATGAGAATGGGAAGGTGACTGAAAGCCAAAAACCGAAGCCAAATAGCAATACTGAAAGAAGTCCAGCTCAAAGCCATCTAGAGATCCATACCAATCTTTCAGACACTAACTTGGCAAGTAACAAACCAAGAGACCCAAATAAAGTTGATGTATGTCCTCCAGAAGCCATCCCAGAAGCTAAGCAACCAGGTGCCAAAGCGATTGGATTTTCCCCTCTAAAAAGTATTCGAAATAATGGTAGTGCGCTTGTTCCACCTCAAATAGAAAGAGGAAACTCTGTAACAATTGGATCTGTTTTACCTGAAGGCAGTCAGCCAGAGGAATATGTACCTGGTGACACTTCTCTCTCAGCAGTTGAAAATAAATGGAAACCTTTGACAGGCATGACTGTTGTGCATGCCATTACTACAAAACCTTTAATTATTAAAATAAATAAAATGCAAGATCAACTGGAGGGAAAGGCCCAGGGTCTCAAGATTGAGATCAAGAGCAAGAGTAGAGTCCGTCCAGGATCCTTATTTGATGAGGTACGAAAGACAGCTCGGTTAAATCAGAGACCCAGAAATCAAGACAGCTCAAGTGAAGAAGACTCTATTCCAGCAACAGGAGAAAGGGCTGGATCCCACTCTCGGAACAAGTCAAGGTCTGTGTCCAGTCACAGGTCCCACTGCAGAAGTAGGTCTCATTCATATAGCCGCTCCAGGAGCAGGTCCAGAAGCTACACCTACTCTTCCAGGTTGGTTACAACAGACAATGTTTTATGACTTTGTATGTCCAATCGTCCATGTCAAGTCAATTTTGCATGTTTTAATTGTTCACACAGGAGCTACAGTAGAAGTAGAAGCAGGAGTAGATACAGCAGAGGACACTCTCGTTCTCGAAGTAGCACCTTCCGAAGTTCCCGTAGGTAAGTACTGAAAGATATTTATCTTTGATATATGTCTAATGGGGATTAAAATGTTTTTAATGAAGATACCACGGTGATCTTGTTTTAGCCATACAGACAGTACAAGTCATTCTAGAAGTCGCCACAGAGGTCGCCACAGATCAAGGTGAGCATGGAGCCAAAATGATTAATGCATTTTGATTGCAACCAACCTAGTGTCGCTTAATTATGTCTTTTGTTCATGGAAATACAGGTCTAACTCTTCCGATAGTTATTCTAGCCGCAGTCGTAGCAGGAGAAGAGGGCATCGGAGAAGTGAGAGCTCTGACCGCAGGTCCAGGTACATCATAAATAAATCCATGTATTATTAAAACTGTCTTGTTTGAATTTGATAATGTGCCTCACTGAAGCTAATTCTCTGATGTGTGTCTTCACTTTCAGGTCATATCGCTCTTACAGTCGCAGTTCCTCCAGGAGGCGAAGTCATAGCCGAAGCAGTCGATACAGCTGAGCTGAATTGATGTAGCATTAAGCCTCCCTATCCTCCTTCAAATGGTTTTCTGAACGAATGACTCAGTTTAAGTTTGAAGTATGTACTTTGATGTACACTGTATCATCATTTAATGTGTAATTCACATACATTCTGCTGTATTTTTCCAAATGAGTCTATGTATGAATGTACATTTGAAACAAAATTAGTCACTGCTTTATTCTGGCACACCTTTTTAATATTCCTAAGAAATGGAGCATAGAACCCTCCAACTGTAAAGCCTAGGTTATATATCAACAGCCACTTACCTCAGTCTTTTGAACATGAAATTCCGTGAAATGTAAATGTCATGTTTTGACATGGCATGCAGTTTTATTAAACAAATCAATGGTAGACATGGATGGAAAATGTTTAGTTTTGGCCAAATTAATGTTTTGTGGTTGCCCTCGGTGCATTGTTTTTTTATTTGTACATAAAAACAAAACATCTTGCTGAATGTATCTACTGCTGCTTATTGATACACCATTTAAATATAACAAACGAATCTTGCCAACTGTAAATAAAACTACATTTGTTTGTGAAATCCTTCGTGTGTGCTGTATAATGTGTATTCTGGGAAATGTGTTCTTCCTACTTCACGTTTCAGTGACTCCTCCAAATATACACAAAATTGAGTATGATGCATTAGAATGTGGATAAAAGTCCATCTCAAACATGTTTGTAAGTATTGACCACTACAAGCATGTCTGCTTTTTGATTTAGTCCTGGGATACTGTACATCCAAAATGTGCTGGGGTACACTAGGATCAGAATTGACAACCACTGCACTGATACTACTGCATCCAAATGTACTGTCAGAGTATGAACAATTCTCTTATGAAGAATTCACTTTTGGCTGTTGTTCTAAATTGTTATTTAGTATAAACTGTATGCATTTCTAGATATACTACACATACTAGCAATCATCAAAGTACAGTTTAACCACAAAGAGCATTTTTATTGGTATCTAAAGTACTTAAACATAAGAGCTCAGATCACATTTCTCCATTTTCGAAAATCTTTTTTGATTTTTTTTCTATCTTAACAGTTGCTTCACTCCTGTGGCCTCATGGGATAGTGTTTACTGGTTGCTCACTAAAGAATCTCAGCAGGTGCAGTATGTCATCTGGGTTTAGTTTGCCTGCTGTTTCACAAATACTGTATATTCAGACATCCTACTCGCTGTTTATTAAAAGAAAAGTATACATATTCGAACACAAGGATTATAATTGCTCTGGATTTTCAGGATTCCGCATGCTCTCATGCACACAGTGAGATGCCACATGCAAGGTCATGACTATGAGCACCTGGGACACAAATGCTCCATGTCCCCATAAGGGCAGCTCCTATTGATTACTAATTTTTAGCAGTAGATGTAGACTAGAGCTCAGACGGGAAAAAAAATATCCAGTGCAATGGCCCTTTAAAACTTCTGACAAAAGCCCATATGATCCCTGAGCTCCAATCACCAATTCCTACTGCAAAAGCAGCCTCTGCATTTTTGTCTGTCTGAATGCTGCTAGCACGGCGAGAAAAAAAACAGTGAGGGGAAAGAAAACTGAAGAAATGTGAAAATCCAGCGTACTATTACATGGCGAGCGGAAGTTCTGCGCAAATGGGAGTTATTCGCAGACTCCTTCGATGCTAGAGACCCCGGATCAAAATGGTACAGTAGACAACGACATTTTGATTATTTTATATCCATATTTGATCTCTTGTAATTTTAAACGACTTAGCTAGGCCGATGAAACTTGCAATAGTTTGTCCCGGGACGTGTCTGAGTTTTGAATGTGTTAGATAATGTGATGTCGCCAATAAATTTGACCGCGAAATGAAGTTTGCAACTTGCACAGAACGCCGACAAGCCACAGAAATTGGAAGGTTAACAAGAATGCAATGGCCACAATAGCTACATTGTTGCGTTTAAAGAGTTAAATTCTCTCATATCAGTGTGGATAGGGATCACGTCGTGACTGGTGCATTTTGTGGACATTGATGCATGCAAAATTAAATTTGAATTCTAAATATACTTTTGAAATTATAGACTTTGTTGCACAGGACGAGAACGAATTGATGTCACAACACCTTTAAATTCACATGCCCTTAAATTTGTCGATCCCCCATCCATAGAGTTCATATTTCAGTTGTGCAATAACTCTGAGTCTCCAAATAAATGTTGAAGGCGTTACACATTTTTTTTTTTAGAGATACAGGAGCTTGGAAACATTATACTTTAAATGCCATTTAAATGATTTTATATTAATATAAATCATTTTCTAAAATGTAGGCATAGCCCAAAACAAAGATAAATAAATTAGATCGCAAATACTTACAAATAGCATTAGTATTATTAATAGTTATATACTAATTATTAGTCATGTTTTAGTATAATGATTGTTTAATATTGTCAAAGCAAAAACAAAACTATAATTTTAAAATTGTTCTACAGATTGGTTATCAAAGTTAAACTAAAATCTGCATTGTAAATATAATTAATTTCTACAAAATACAAAGATAGAAGAAAGAGAGAAAAAACAAGCAGTCACCGCGTAAAGTGTTCACACAGTCAATTACAAATATCAAGTAATTAAAAAAATAATTTCAGGAATCGCAAAAGCCATTGAAATAAAGAGAGGGAGAGAAATGTAAGAATATTTTTCCTAGTATTTCATTGACTAGAAATTGTGACCTCTGTAAATCTTTTTTTTTTTTTTTTTAATCCCACTTATACCCACCTATCACAAATTAATAAAAAAAATTGTAGTCTCAGTGAACTCATACGCAGAAGAATAAAATGGGAAGAGAATGATAAAAGATATGTTTTGTTTTTTCGTTTTGTTTTTGTTTTAGTGGTTTGTTTATATGTCAGGTGCATGGTTGTTTATATTATTTCTTATTTGCAAATAATAAAAATCATAAATTTAAAAAAAGAGATGTCTTACTCTGGGTGTATTTTGGTGTTGTTTTTTATTAGCATTGTAATATTCCATATCCTTCATAAACAGAGGGAGAGCATCACAAAAGTTGCGGGATGAAAGCAGTGTTGATTTTAGGAATGCTCAGTAAAAATAAAGCATGTGTATTGTAGTACGTTGATGCTGTATCCAGAGGCCTCTTCACATCTGGAAGATGGGTTAATAGCTGGGTCAGGTCACTACTTTAGTGCCACGACCCTGTCTTGTTGACCTCCAGTTGCTCGCTTGATTTTTTCACATGACCCTTAAAAAGTGTTGTTATTTTTTATTATTTATAGTGCATTTCCTGTTTGCCTGTAGTGGACCAAAAGTGCTTAAATATGCATAGCCTATTGTTGGTTGACATGTGAAATGAGTCAGAACCCAAAGAATTCATTACGCCCCCATTAATGCATTGTATATGAGAATCTAATCAATTTTAAACAATCACCGAAAGAATATAACTTGATGATAACATTAACCATTTTAATTTCCAAAACGCTCTGTAATAACAGAAAAGCAGCTGAACTTCAGCTGAATCTATTGAACTTGGTTACTAGTTCCCATCGCTCATCTAGTTAAGCATTAGTGGTAAAAGCATGGTCAAGCAAGGTCATCATGTTTGAGATGCATACGGTTAAAATTCTCATACAAATGAATAAATGCATTGAATGCATGATGATTTCCTAGCGCTATGAAAATTTGTGCTTTAGGAAGAGCTGAAATAGAACGACTCCTGCTAAACTCTGCAGTCTTGTCCTTTAGTGCTGCGGCCTGGAAAAAAGCATCATGCTGAGGGTTTTTATGTAACCATCTATTCAGGACATTCCTGCCCACCCTTGACTTTGAGGCTTCGTTGTCTCTCAGTGCTCTGCTGTTGAGGTCACTTAAATCCATGTGACAAGTGCTCCTCAAACGGCTCCCAGCATTCAACTCGAGTCTTGTTCTTATTATTATCAATGTTGAAAATAATTGTGCTGCTTAAAGAGATAGTTCACCCAAAAATGAAAATTCAGTGATCGTTTAGTCACCCTCATGTTGTTCCAAACCTGTATGACTTTCATTATTTTGAAGAATGATAGTAGCCATTGACTTCCATAGTATAGATTAGAAATAATATTATGGAAGTCAATGGCTACCATCAACTGTTCGGTTACCAACATTGTTCAAAATATCTTCTTTTGTGTCATTTTATGAAATCAGCATGAATTAAATGCTACTACTAGTATGCAAATATGATGAATGTGTATGTATGCATTCTTCGAAGGATCCGTTTGCTAAATCTGTACAATTTAATCTTTATCAACACACATTACCTTCCTTCTCCTTTTCGGTTATGGAAAAGAGAAGACATTTATTTCCCTATTTCACAGTTGTGTTTCTCCCGGTGTCTGTGTTGTTTGTCAGGTTCAGTTCCTCACATTGCTGCATACTTAGGTCAGAGTCTGTACATGGAGAGGAGTTGGCCCATGAGCAGAGTTAGCAGATCTGTGGCAGTTTGTGTTTGTGCTTTATGTGGCAGAGACATGCCAGCTCCACAGGCTCTTCTCTTGGCCAGAAGTCCTGACTCAGCTCCTGCTCACATAACTCAGGCTGAAGTCTCCTGGCAGTCCTGCTCAGGCTTTGGTAACGTAGCAGATCACAGTCTACAACCTTGATTATTCAGTTCCCGCATTGGGTTGTTCAAATTCTGTTACAGCCACATTTTGTGCTTGCTTGGCTGTATGAGAGAAGTTGGCGAATCTCGGGAAATCTGTCATTAACTTGTCAGGGTCAGATTTCAGCACTACATCTAAAGGATGTTGAAGTTGATGCATTTCCTCAGCGACCATCACAGATCAGCTCTAGGCATGACGTAGCGGATATCGTCCTCTTTTGGAAGACCAAACAAAGTAGTTTCGCTTTCACAATGAAACACAGCGCCTTCACGACATGGCGGCGGCGACAACAACAATACTACAGCGAGAATAAAAGTTATGCCTTCTTTCTTTGCGTGAACATTTGGGCGGCGTTATGCAAATCTTCCCACACAGTGACGTAGACATGTGAGGGCGTGTTAGAACGAGCCGTTTTAGGTAGGCGTGGTTGACTCTTAACTTTTATAAAGAACATCTCTTTGGATTTGAGACTTTAGTCTTTGCAACTTTACAGATCTTCTTTATGCACCAAGAGCTTGTAACACTTCAAAGAGAAAGGAAAAATTGAAATCGCATCATATGACCCCTTTAATCAAAAATATGGCAAAAACGCTGTGAAATATTACAATTTAAAAAAAATACAAGCTCAGGTTTCAGTGTCACATGACCCTTCAGAAATAATTATAATATGCTGATATGGTAAGAAACATATTATTATTATTTTTTGAGGGGGGATAAAAGGGTTTTTTGTTTTTTTGTTTTTTTTACTAAAATTCTTATCGGAATCAAAAGACATTTAACTTTTTTTTATTCTTATTGTTCTCAATTATAACTCATTGAAATACAGTACTATAATAGAATTTTGTACTATAGTTAGGGATGTAACGATTAACTGCGAGCCGGTTGAAAATCGATTAAAATATGTGACGATTCAAATCGGTTGAGATGCTAAACAAATCGCGATTCAGTTAGGGGTAGGAGTTTATATGAATGTATATCTGAGGGGAAACTTACTGTCTTTAGAAAAGTTTAGATGGTATTTTTTATTTTCATCTCGCCTCTGTATAATGCATATTAAAGTTCATAAGAAACCAAGGAAACGCTTTAAGCACCACCTGCTGGCAGAGAGTGAATCTGCGTCTCATTCAACTTGTCTGTTGTTTCTGTTTCATGCAGATATTTTTTATGTATAGTTTCACAAAACTGAAGTTAAACCATTCTGTTTTTGCTTCAAATTTCGAAATTATACAATCCAATTTAGATTAAAACTGCTCATGTTGCATGTATGCAGCATCTTTTTTTGGATCATGATTAAAATGCAGTGGTTGCCTCTCATTTTAAATGGAAAGAGCACAAACAAAGCCTTAGTTTGTTTATATGAAGAGATGTCTTTTATTTGTGTTACTTATTTATTTGATTTGGTGCTTGTTTTAAAATTTCAGTTTAGTTTTGTTATTTAGCAGACGCTTTTATCCAACGCGACTTACAAATGAGGACAATAGAAGCTATTAAAACCAACAAAAGAGCAATAATATGCAAGTGCTATATTAGTATATTAGTGTTATATTTCAGTTTCACTAAGAAATGTGCAGCATTTTGTCCAAGCAATAATA